TTGATTTTATATATAATTCTAGTTTCAAGAATATTCGCTCGATTTAAATGAGATTAACTTCGAACTTGTACCATTTATTTATGATTTTATTCCAATCTTGATATTTTCAATAGAATTGAAAAACCTGATGACACTAATTATGTTATTTTTAATGCAGTTACTAATAAATTTTATCAAGTTATTTCATCTTCCATGCATATATTATCGACCAAGACAACAGCAGCCATCGTCAGTACAAATGCCATATAGATAGTGCTTTCTTCTTCTGCAAAACACGGTGCATCCTCTATCCCCTCCTCTTTCACATGGATTGAATTTGAAGCATTTTTCACTTTGATCTATTCCAGAAACTATTTAATAATAATTACAATTAAACCATTAATCCAATATGTATATGTATATTTATATAAAAGGGATAAAATTATGTACATAATTGAAAAAGGGAGTAAATTAATACCTGGGGTGTTAGCAGATATCGTACGACAATGAGCATAAGATATCATGAAAATGATAGTGAAAAAAATTACGACTAAAGTTTTCATGGTGATAGCCATTTGTATGATACTCTTTTAACTTCTATTATTTTTCTTATATTTAGAATGCTTATATATAGAATAACACAAACATACATAAAAAGATAATTTTTCTTGGTCAAAGATAAAAAAGAACATAATCTCTAAATTCATTTCCTTACCAATTTATAATCAAAATAAAAACAAAGAGAATGATTTTCTTACCTAATTACACTTAAACACTAGTGAGATTATATTAATTTATACTGTTAAATGTCTAACATTGTTTTCCAAATTCTGTTTAAGATTTTGTAATAAAGTAATTTGCATATTCAAATAGTTACAACTTGACATTATTGATAAAAATTACGCATTTGAGAGTTACCCAATAATAATATCGTTACGCATTTTAAATGTTTCAAACCAAATTTTAATTTACTCTTTGACCAAAGCTAGTAAACTTTTAATTCTTCGCCATTTAACTAATAATATATTGAACAGATGCATATTTATTTTATCTAAAGCTATTTTTTAATCGTCAAGCTATTTCTATATCATGTATATAATAACTGAAGAGCAAAAAGAGATAATAAGTGCAAACAATTTAGGTATCGTTCAAATATTATTTTAAGGAATATATATTTTAATTTAACCAATCAAA